CGCAAAACAGGTCTGCCGTCACATAGTGCACCGCAAATTTTCCTCAAATCTTGCCCTCCTCCTGTTCCACTTTGCGACCATTATGCGGTCCGCAGAGTGATTCTGCGAACGCATAGTGGTCGCAGAAATGACCCTTTTCCGACAAAAGTTTCCTTTACATATCGGTGCATTGTTCAACCCAAACCTTAATTTTCTTAGCAAAATTTCTCCGGGGTCGTTACACATAAGTTAACATCCGGTCAACCTTTTCAACTTAAATTTTAAATCTTGGAACTAAGCGCTCCAAATCATTTCAAAACCTCACCGAACCCAAACTAATGACCCCGGCAAGCGAAATAACAGCTATAATTCACAATTTGAACAGTAAATAGGGGAACGGGATCGCAATAGTCAAAACGACCACCCGGGTCGTTACATTCTCCCCCTCTCAAAAAAATGTTCGTCCTCGAACTGGCTTAGAATCATACCTGGAGTCTCAAATAGATGTGGATATTTACTCTGCATCTCCTGCTCAATCTCCCAAGTAGCTTCTCCGACTGGATGGCCTCTCTACTGTGCCTTCACCAAAGCTATGTTCTTTTATCTCAACTTTCGAACCTGCCGGTCTAAAATGGCCACCGGCTCCACATCATAAGTCAAATTACCATCCAACTACACTGTACTGAAATCCAAAATATGAGACGGATCCCCGACATACTTTCAGAGCATGGATACATGGAACACTGGATGAACACCTGATAGACTGGGTGGCAAGGCAAGTTCATAAGCCACATCTCTAATTTTCTTAAGTATCTCAAAAGGCCCAATATACCGAGGGCTCAACTTGCCCTTCTTCCCGATCCTCAACACACCCTTCATGGGTGAAATCTTGAGCAGAACCTTCTCCCCAACCACGTGAACCATATCACGAACCTTTCTGTCGGCATAACTCTTCTGTCTAGACTGTGTCGTGCGAAGCCGTTCCTGAATTACTATAATCTTCTCTAAAGCATCCTGAACCAAGTCTGTACCCAATAGTCTAACCTCACCTGGCTCAAACCAACCCACCGGAGACCGACACCGTCTCCCATATAAAGCTTCATACGGAGCCATCTGAATGCTTGACTGGTAGCTATTATTGTAAGCAAACTCCGCGAGTGGCAGAAATTGATCCCAAGAACCTCCTAAATCAATGACACAAGCGCGTAGCATATCCTCCAATATTTGAATAGTGAGATTGGACTGTCGGTTCGTCTGAGGGTGAAATGCTGTACTCAACTGAACCTGTGTGCCCAATTCTTGCTGCACTGCCCTCCAAAACTACGAGGTAAACTGTGTACCCCAATCTGAAATAATGGACACCGGCACACCGTGTAGGCGAACAATCTCGCGAATATAAATCCCAGCCAACCGCTCCGAAGAATAATTAGTACCAATTGGAATAAAATGCGCGGATTTGGTCAACCGATATACAATCACCCAAACTGCATCAAACTTTCTCAATGTCTGTGGAAGCCCAACTACGAAGTCCATGGTAATACGCTCCCATTTCCACTCCGAAATTTCAAGTCCCTGAAGTAATCCTCCCGGTCTCTGATGCTCGTGATTTACTTTTTGACAATTTAAACACCTAGCTACAAACCCAACTATATCTTTCTTCATCCGCCTCCACCAATAGTGTTGTCTCAAATCCTGATACATCTTCGCGGCGCCTGGATGAATAGAGTACCGCGAACTGTGAGCTTCCTGGAGAATCAACTCGCGCAAACCATCTACATTAGGCACACATAGCCTACCCTGCATCCGTAATACACCGTCATTTGCAATAGTGACTTCCTTGGTATCACCGTGCTGAACCGTGTCCTTAAGGACAAGCAGATGGGGATCATCATACTGGCGCTCTCTGATGCGATCATATAAAGAAGACCGAGAAACCACATAAGAAAAAACTCGATTCGGCTCGGAAACATCCAATCTAATAAACTGGTTGGCCAAAGCCTGAACATCCAATGCTAAAGGCCTCTCTGCTACCGGTAAGTATGCTAAGCTACCCAAACTCTATGCCTTACGACTTAAGGCATCGGCCACCACATTGGCCTTTTCGGGGTGATAGAGAATTGTGATATCATAATCCTTAAGCAACTCCAACCACCTTCGCTTCCGCAAATTAAGATCCTTCTGTTTAAACAAATGTTGTAGACTCCGATGATCGGTATACACCTCGCACTCGACACCGTACAAGTAATGCCGCCAAATTTTCAAGGCATGAACAATAGTTGCTAACTCCAGATCGTGGACTGGATAATTTTTCTCATGTACCTTTAATTGTCTGGACGCATAGTCAATCACCCTACCGTCTTGCATAAGTACTGCACCGAGACCAATACGCGACGCATCACAATATATAGTATACGACCCTGAACCTCTAGGCAACACCAATATTGGAGCTGTAGTCAAAGCTATCTTGAGCTTCTAAAGATCTCTTCACATTCATCCGACCACCTGAATGGAGCGCCTTTCTGGGTTAATTTAGTCATAGACGATGCAATAGACGAAAAACCCTCCATGAAACGACGATAATAACCAGCCAAGCCGAGAAAACTCTGAATCTCAGTAACTGAAGATGGTCTGGGCCAATTCTGAACTGCCTCTATTTTCTTCGGATCCACCTTAATTCCTTCACTGGACACTATATGTCCCAAGAATGCCACCTAACTAAGCCAGAATTCGCACTTAGAGAATTTAGCATAAAGATTCTCCTCTCTCAACCTTTGCAATACAATGTTCAAGTGTTGTGCATGCTCCTCATGGCTACATGAGTATACCGGGATATCATCAATAAATACCACGACAAATGAGTCAAGATACGGTTGGAAAACACTATTCATCAAATGCATAAATGCTGCTAGGGCATTGGTTAGCCCAAAAGACATCACAAGAAATTCATAGTGGCCATAACGAGTTCTGAATGCCGTCTTCAGAATATCTGAATCCCTAATCTTTAACTGGTGATACCCAGACCTCAAATCGATTTTGGAGAACACCATCGCTCCCTGAAGCTGGTCAAATAAGTCATCAATACGGGGCAAGGGATATTTATTTTTGATTGTAACTTTGTTCAACTGCCTATAATCGATGCACATCCGCATAGTGCCATCTTTCTTTTTGAAAAACAGAACCGGTGCACCCCTAGGTGACACACTAGGCATAATAAAGCCCTTTTTAAGGAGTTCCTGAAGTTGCTCTTTCAATTCAGCTAGTGCCATAGGACACAGAGGAATAGAAATAGGTTGAGTGCCCTGCACCAAGTCAATACCAAAATCAATATCCCTGTCGGGCGGTATACCCGGCAGGTCTGTAGGACATACATCAGGAAAATCTCTCACTATCGGTACTGAATCAATAGTAGGAGTCTTTGCATCAACATCTCTCACAAAGGCCAAGTATGACAAACATCCCTTTCCAACCATACGTTGGGCCTTCAAATATGAAATTACCCTGCTAGGAACAAACTCTAGAGAACCTCTCCACTCAACCTTTGTCAATCCCGGCATAGTCAACGTCACAGTTTTTACCTGACAGTCCAGAATAGCATGACATGGAAACAACCAATCCATACCCAGGATTACATCGAAATCAACCATACCGAGTAATAAAAGATAAACCCTAGTCTCCAGTTCCCCAATAGTTACCACACACGACCGATACACACAGTTCACAGTAATAATATCACCCACCGGTGTAGATACACTAACATGTGAAACTAAGGACTCACGGGGCATATCCAGATAATGAGCAAAATACGATGATACATATGAATAAGTAGAACCAGGGTCAAATAATGTAAAAGCCTCCCTGTGGCACACTGAAACAATACTTGTGATAACTACATCTGAAACAACAGTATCTGTCCTGGCAGGAAAAGCATAGAATCGGGCCTGACCGCCACCTGATCGGCCTCCCCTTCTTGGGCGACCCCTAGCTGCCTGACCCCCACCCCGAGCTGGTTGGGCAGGTGGTGTAACTGCTGGTGCTGGTGCCGTTGGTCGAGAACTCTGCAGTGGAACCCCACTCAACAGCCTACGACAATCTCTCTTGAAATGACCCAATTCTCCGCACTCGAAACAACCCATCCTCTGATGAATCTATTGCTCCTGATAACCCGAAGAATTACCTGTAGAAGCCTGTGCAGACGAGGCATGATGAGAACTCTGTGCTGGCAGTGCACTGAATGAAGACTGGCCTGAGTGAGCACTGTACGAACCGTGGCTAGCTGATGCACCACGATGAACTGGACGACCCGCCTGAGCGTGTCTGTAATAATGGCGCCTACCACGATAAAACTGACCCCCTGAAGGAATACCGCTGAAATCACCAAAACCACGAGGCCTCTTAGCCTCCCTTTCAACCCGCTCCTGGCTGCGAACCATCTCAATCTAATGAGCAATGTCAACAACCTCGTCAAAAGTAGCACCAGACACTCTCTCTCTCTCTATTCATGAGTAATCGCAGCTGAAAAGTGAGGCCATCTATAAACCTCCTGATCCTTTCCTTGTTTGTAGGAATCAACCAGATAGCATGACGGGCCAATTCTAAAAATCTCATCTCATACTGTATCATATACATATCACACTAACGAAGCTTCTCAAACTGCTTGCGCAGCTCCTCTCTACGGGACTGAGGTACGAACTTCTCCAGGAATAGACCGGAGAACTGCTGCCACATAAGGGGTGCTGCACCGACCGGCCTACACCTCTCGTAAGACTCCCACCATTTGAAAGCAGCCCCAGAAAACTAAAAAGTAGTGAATGAGACCCCACTGGTCTCCAGAATACCCGTTGTCCGAAGCATCCACTAACACTTATCCAGAAAACCCTGAGCATCCTCTGACTCAGCACCGCTAAAAGATGGAGGTCGAAGCCTCTCAAATCTCTTAAGTCTCCTCTGCTTATCATCTGCCATAACAGGAACTACCGGGATCTGAGCAGCTGCAACCGGCCGGGCTGGTAGTGCCCCGGTATCTAAAGTCCACGTACTATCTGGTCTGGAGTACAGGCATTGGGGGTAAGAGTACCTCCCCTGGCCTGAGAAGCGGCAGGTGCGTCCTGAGCCAAAACCACCTGAGCCAGACCAGTGCAAGCTGCCAATATCTAGGCCAAAGTCTCCTGAAGGCCTGGAATCTCAATGGGCACAGTTGGTGCCTGAGCTAATCCTGTCGGCTCAGCTATATCTGGAATCTGCTCCTGAGCTGGAGCAACCGGTGGTACTACAGGTGCGGGTCCAACTGTGGTATGAGCTACACCTCGACCTCTACCTCGACCCCGGCTTCTACCACGACCCTGGACTCTCGTGGCCCTAACTGGTGGCACTGGTGGTTGACCATATGTGAGAGAATAGATTAACAAAAAATTAGTTTTTGGAATCAACAAATTCGCACGACGGAATACAAGAAAGTGAAGTTTTCCTACGGTTTCTGCAGCCTCTCGAATATAAATACAGACGTCTCCGTACTGATCCGCAAGACTCTACAAAACCTGCTCATGACTCGTGAAACCTATGTAACCTAGGCTCTGATACCAACTTGTCACGACCCAAAATCCTAACCTGTCGTGATGGAGCCTATCTCAGTACTAGGCTAGCCGACAACATCAATAACCCATGATTTCCTTTAAAAAAAATTTTAAAAATGTAACGTTTAATACAATACCAAAAATCTAGCAATTTCCGATACAACACTCCCCAGAAACCTGGTGTCACCGAGTACATAAGCATCTAATATGAGTACAAGTCTAGAAAATGCGGTCTATAATTGTCTGAGACCAAATACAGTAAACAAGGAGATAGAGAAGGAGAGGCAAGGTCTGCGGAACATGGCAGCTACCTCAAAATCTCCTGAAAATCAACTGCGCGAAATGATCAACACCCGCTATATTCAGGAACACCTGGATCTGCACACGAAGTGCAGGGTGTAGTATGAGTACAACCATCTCAGCAAGTAACAATAATAACTAAGGAACTGAAGATAATGACGAGCTATACAGTCATAGTTCACTTTCAGTAGTTCCAGCAAAGAATAGACATGCTTTTAAATCTGGCAGTTTAAGTCAAATCAATTTTATACAGTTCAATTTCAAGTCATCCAGATATAAATTCTTTTAGAAATTTCACAACAATGATAGATAGCAACCAAGTGCAACAACAAATGCAAAGCAAGTACAGCCTCTCAGGCAACAGTCACTCAGCTCATCACAACAGCACAACCACTCGGCTCTCAGCCCTTTAGCACTCACACTCAATGGGTACCCGCACTAACTGGGGGTGTGTACAGACTCCGGAAGGGCTCCTACAGCCCAACTGCCATAATTTGCAAGGACAACTCACGTGGTGCACGGACAACTCATGTGCTGCACGGACAACTCACGTGCTATAATATCCCGCACAGACAACTCACATGCCATAATATCCTTACCTCACCGACAGGCCCTCGTCCTTACTCAGTCCTCAACCTCTCAAGTCTCTCGGGCTCTCAGAAATCACAAAGATCAGTCCAAACAAAGATAACATAGTATATCAACAAGTATCCAGAAAGACTGAGGTATAATACGCAAGAAAAATCATGACTGAGTACAAGACAACAATTAACAAATAATTCAACAAGTACGCGATCTCTACGGGTCTCAACAGTACTATAACATAGCCTAAGCATGATTTCTAACATGATTTATAGTCAAATTTCTTCAACACACAGAGATCATATAGCTAACAATAAATTATTCAACTTTACAGTTTTTCGGGACGGACCAAGTCACAATCCCCTCGGTGCACGCCCACATGCCCGTCACCTAGCCTGTGCGCCACCTCCAAAATAATCACATGATACCAAAATTTGGAGTTTCATACCCTCAGGACTAGATTTATAATTATTACATTCCACGAGAATTGATCTCCGAAATTCTCGTATCTAGCCACAATTAATTTGATTCAGTCAATACCAATTATTGTAATTAATTCCATAAGGAGATTCTAATTTTTCCAATAAAATATGAAATTAACTCAAAAATCGTTCATGGGGCGTATCAGAACCCGACAAAAGTTACAGAATATGAACGCTCATACAACCACGAGTCCAACCATACAAATTTCACCAAAATCCGACAACAACTGGACCCTCAAATCTTCAATTAAACTCTATGAAGATTTCTACTATTTCCAACCCAATCCGTACCCATTTGAACTTAACAATCCTTCCACAACCTTATTGGTATGTATACATAATACTCTTACACCTAAGAATCATACTATTAATCACCCATTTTTATTTCAAACCCAAAATTGAAGGATTGAGGAAAGATATTCTTACCTCTTTGAAGCCCTAGCAAGACCCTTGTGAAATCTTCAAACCTTGAACAAGAATTGATGGATAAATGACTAAGTCTTCACTTTCTCTCTCTAAAATGCTCTCACCTCTCTCTAAAATATCAAATTTTGGCTAAAAAATGAGCTTCAACGGCTATAAATCGAAGTTGGGTCTGGTAAAAAAATTAGAAAGAATGGAAGCTCCGACGCAGTTATGCGGTCGCATATGCGATCGCATACAGGTATGCGGACCGCATACCGACCGCATAATTTGGCCTCCAAAGCTGGGCGTTACTAACCTCTTCTGCGGTCATTTTCCGGTCTGCATACTTGTTCTGCGATCGCACCGCAAAAGAGGTATGCGGTCGCATAGTGCACCGCAGATTTTCCTCAACTCTTGCCCTCCTCCTGTTCTACTTTGCGACTATTATGCGGTCCGCAGAGTGATTCTGCGACCGCATAGTGGTCGCAGAAATGACCCTTTTCCGACAAAACTTTCCTTTACACATCGGTGCATTGTTCAACCCAAACCTTAATTTCCTTAGCAAAATTTCTTCGGGGCCGTTACACATAAGTTAACATCCGGTCAACCTTTTCAACTTAAATTCTAAACCTTAGAACTAAGCACTCCAAATCATTTCAAAACCTCACCAAACCCAAACCAATTACCCCGGCAAGCCAAATAACAACAGTAATTCACAATTTGAGCAGTAAATGGGGGAACGGGATTGCAATAGTCAAAACGACTGCCCAGGTCGTTACACTACTATAGGCGAGACAACAGCACAATACAATCAACAACTCAAAAATAACCTAACTATAATTCAGGACCTTTAATACAATAAAACTCCCAAATATACCATAACACACCCAATCAACACATTATCAAGTAGCTTGAAACTGCAACGATGAGCGACCAGCCTACTACCCTACCACGTATGGCGTTTATCCATGACATTTATCATTCAAAACTCCATAAATCAGAAGCAAAAGAGGCCAACATGAGTGGACTAGAAAACAGTCCACTAAAAGTGGAATAAATCGAACTCACGGCTTTCGATCACCATCCCGTGAGTTCTAACTGTTAGAAAATGAATTTATCAACCTTTCTTGATACATAAAAGCTTAAATACTGAAAGTAGGTATTTTCTTAACTATGACGTACCTTCCAAAACTCAAAATATAAATAAAAAGAGAGGCGATATAGCGATACTTACGTCGTAAGGATTATTCTAATGTTATCGCTTCTTGATTTCGTACCCGGGATGTTAATCTTCTTTGAAACCTATGTAGAGATATTAAGGGTAGGTTTATGGTCTTATTTTGGTCGTGGTCAGTGGGAAAATGTAGAAAGAGACGACATAAGCGATATATATACATAGCCACTTTTGAAAAGTCAAAGAGGTGCTAGCTTAGCACCATAGCATTGGCCCTTCTTCCGACGCTTATATCATTTTATCCGGATGTCGTATGGTCAAACGGTTAAGAGAATTGAAAACTATATTCCAGGACCTTCAATTTTATATATAATATGTCCCAAAAAGATTTCATATAACACACTAAATGTATTTCTCAAAAAGCTTCATTACAAGGCAAATCCTTAGCCGATATTTTCACAACTTAAAATCGATTTTTTCCAAACTTTATATTTTATATCCAAATATCATATATAGTAATATTATGACTTTAAACTTATTTAAATCATGATTAATAAGTCTCATATTCATTATACGTCACCTTGGGACGCACGACGTGTAACAATCTTCCCCCCTAAGAAACATTCATCCTCGAATGTTAAACTCCCAGAGATCTATAGAAATATTGGTAGAGTCTTCTCTATAACGGTACTACTACCAACCTGTCAGGATTTGTTGATGCTGGTGGTTTGAAGAACAATGTAGAATTTTTATGATATGTTGGTGATAATGGTGTTGTAGTTGCTGCTATTAGTTCAAAAACAATGTAGTATGTTAGAAGTGGGTACTAGGAATTTGGCCTTTTATTAATGTACACTATCTTGTTATGAATGAAATGGCAATGGCCAATTTTTAATACAAATTTAAGCTCAGCTACACTTCCATATTGTGTTATGAATGAAATACAAAGTCATATTCATGAACTAAAAAAATAACTGCCCAAACATATTCATGAATTGAAAACATAAGTGCGCAAACATTCGATTGCATAATGTGATGAACTAGCATTATATCGAAGCTAAAAAAACAGAGCATTGTTTTGGTCTACAAAATACATAATATTCAAGATGATAATAGAGACTTAATGTATAAAATATAGCATAACTGCCCAAACATTCGATTGCATAATGTGATGAACTAGCATTATATCGAAGCTAAAAAATAGAGCATTGTTTTGGTCTACAAAATACATAATATTCAAGATGATAATAGAGACTTAATGTATAAAATATAGCATAACTGCCCAAACATTCGATTGCATAATGTGATGAACTAGCATTATATCGAAGCTAAAAAATAGAGCATTGTTTTGGTCTACAAAATACATAATATTCAAGATGATAATAGAGACTTAATGTATAAAATATAGCATAACTGCCCAAACAAAAAGCTGCCAGACCAAACAGAGCATAACTGTTCAAACAACTAAGCTCCAATAGAGCATAATGTATCAAACAGAGCATAATTGCCCAAACAAAAAACTGGCAGTGACATCTTAGATAACATTAACAAAAATTGGTCTGCTTCACAATGTAGATACAGCTGAACTTATTTGACTTGAAGGGCCTTTTTTACTTGTTGCACTCATCTGCTGAAGTTGTGACTTGTCACTACATTACTTCCTTTAAACTTCAATCCAGGGGCTTAAACCAATGTCTATGTTAGTTGTAGATATATACTTGAATGTCCCAACTGATATGACTCTCTCAGATGATATACTGGACTGTAAAATGCAATGAATTAGTAATAAATAAATAGATATGTTCCAGCCCACAAACTGCATTACGATAAAATTATACACCCCTACATTCTGGATAGTAGTTCCAGTCATAGTATTTGTGAAAATCCCAAAATCACTATGCCTTGGCCTTTTATGTCCAATGGTTGCTGCATTAGCCAAGCCTCTTCCTAGTGAAGTTTCTTTTCCTTTTCCCCTGCCTAGTCCAGGGCCTCATGTATATTGAGATGTTGAAGGTTGTGTGCTAGTAGAGCTTCTTGTAGCAGATGTGAATACACTCCTACCAATGCCAAGTGCAATTCCTATTCCTTTTCCCCTTCCTAGTCCATGGCCTCTTCCTCTTCCCCTACCAAGCCCGGTTGATTGATTGTTGCTTTGTCTTTTGACAATACTTTTATCCTCACAAATTGATGATGGATTTCTTTGTTGAGATGGTATTTCCCGAGATGATCTTGGTGGAGGTGGTGCCATATTTTGACTTTGTTGACTAGCACTTCTTGGAACATGGTGAAATAATAGTAAGAAAAGAATGTAAAAGAAATAGTAAAAAGACAGAAGTACAAATACCAAAACTTACCATGTTCCTACATCCAGATTTGTTGTGGCATGTTTGTTGGCAATTTGAACAAGTCATCTTTATCCCTTTCTTTGATAGTTTACCATGCTTTTTCCTTGGCTCATCCTTGGCTTTTCTCCTACATCTCTTTGGTCTACCTGGCATAGGTTTAGATTCAGGAGGCTCTATACATGGATTTGTTGATTCTTGCCACATCTTCATATTGGGAATTGGTTGAATGAAATGCTGGTAAGTTTTAAGGAAAGTTTCCTTCCTATACCAGTGGGAAACATAATCATCTGGGTCAATTTCTCTATCATATAATGCACATAGTGTATGTTGACATAGAATGTCCCTCAACATCCATGATCTACAAGTATATGTCATGGTCCTAAAATCAACAATAAATCTGTAAACATCTTCATTAACCTCAAACCCATGTTTTGCATTCCACATAACCGTACACCTCTTAGAGAGGGCTTTATTCTCTTCCATTATCATCCTAGCCATTGGTACAATGTCATTAACCCAAGTCTCAACAAACTTCCTCATTTCAATAGTCCTATTCATGATTTTGTGTCTAATTTCTTCCAACATAGTTATAACAGACTTGTGTTTAGGACCGACAATCCAAGAATAGAATATTTCACACATGTTATTCTCAATGACATCTCACTTTAAATGTTCTCTAAAGTATGCCCTACACCAATACGTTTTATTATACTTCAACAAGTCTTCACATATATGATAACCAAGATTATTCATTGCTTCCAGTTCTTCCTTGAATTTCACTTCATAAGATGCTTTGGCACATCTCCAAAATTATTTCCTCCTTTCTTCACCTCTCTAGTTTTTGGATCAGTTAGACCAAATATGTCTAGCATACATTCTATGTTCTACTATGGGTAGTAATTCCCTTATAGTTGGTACTAGACCCTGCAAAAAAGAGTAATAAATGTTAGTAGACAGTATATATAAAGAAAGAAAAAATAATAATTAAAAGTTGACTGTAACTTCACCTTTTGCATATCTGACTTAACAGTTAAGCCAACGCCATCTCCTAATTATAAATTTACAATCAAATATGTGATGAACCAACTTCAAGAGTGTTTTAGCTTGATAAACTACAGCCCATACAATAGGAAATATTTGATTGTTCCCATTTCTACTAACTGCAACAAGTAACTCACCCTTGCAGATTCTCTTTAGAAAATAAGCATCAAAATCCTATGATCCTTCTGCACCCTTCTAACCATCCCCTTTTCAAAGAATCTAAATAGATAGAAATAAACAAACAGATTCTTGCCAGAAAAAGTCTCACTATCTGTTCTATCCAGCGAGAACTCCCAGGATTTGTTTGCTTAATAATATCAGCATAATCAGCAAGTCTGTTAAATTTTATTTTTCAGTCACCCATGAATTGACTTATAACACTACACGTAGCCTTAAAACAAACAGTCCTTCCAACATACAAACCTAACTTATTCCTGACCAAATCCTGAATCTCCCACAACTTAATATTTGGATGGAAAATAATCATATCTTTATACTTATTGGCAATGTACTTAGAAGTACATAATTTGTTCTTGTTTTTGGTGTTGCACTTATGAGCTGGATGGTACTTCTTCACGGTAAAGTCACATGAATCCCCATAATTGCTTGCATACAATTCCCATTTACACTTCATACCTTTACACTTAACTCTAACCCTATCCTTTTCATTATGCATAATTGTTAGTTGCACTTTGTTCTCCACAGAATATGAGGCCACTACTTTTCTAAACTCCACAACATTTTTAAATACCATACCAAGATTAAAAATAGCAAGGTAACAGTCAGAGTCAAACCTTACCTTTTTACTTCTCCTTCTAGGAGGTAAGTCAACACCCCTTTCAGCTAAAACATCTAAGTCATCTTTGTAATCATCACTTCCAATATCAGAACTAGTGTAGTAGTCTTCATCCCCTCCTAATTTCCCAGCAAACCTGTCCTGCTAAGATGGCCAATATCCTCAAAGCCTTTATCTATTCCAGCTTCACCCAGAATAATCTCTTCTGTTGGAGTAGGTTACTTTCTCTGTTTCTTCTGTTTTTTCTTGTTTCTTATTTCATGCCTTAATGAAGTGAGCTCTTTATTCACATCACTATCATCACCATCAGGTATGTTATCTAATTCAGACTCACTACTTGATAGATCTGATGCCAAACCAACATCTATCTTTGTTGTTTCTTCAACCCCTTGTAAATTCTCACCTGCAACCCCAACATCAGCTAGATTTCCCTCAGCCACAAATGTGTTGTCTGCAGCACTTTCTTGGATATTTATATTCTCTGGAACAGTAGATGTTGCCCTAGCCTCTTTATTTAATATAGTTTTACTTGGTTCAACAACTTCTGGCCCATATAAAAGGCTATATAGGACAGTCTCATCAACCAATAAAGGCTCATTTACTACATGTTTAATAAACAAATCCAAATGATCAAGATGAATAAGGTGACAAACTATATTATACAGTTGTTCATCATTTTCAATCAAGACAAAGACATTAGATTTTAGATTAATTAAATAGAAACCCTCAACCTCAGCATACCCCATATCCTTTGTGTAGGGCATAAGCTCAAAAAGAGAAAAGTGGTTCTTGTCTATCATGTGACCATCCTCACTCCTCTCTCCTACATATCTCGGGTCAGGATCCTTGACAATTTTTTCACCATGGTAAAAATCAATAAGAATATATTCGTCTGCAAACATGACTAGATTTACCAACATGACTAGACTTACCACTGTATTGAAAAACCAAATAGCGAAACAAAGGAGGTTAGTAGATTCCCCGAACCGAAATTATAAAAAAAACCCTAATTTTCACAAACTCCAACAAACTAAATTACAACAGCCAAAAACAACTAAATATCATGTAAATAAAAGCTTACCACGAAGGAAAACTTCGATTGAAAGAGCATAAACTACGAAACTTCAGTCACGGCCAACTCCAGTCACGACCAACTCCAGTTACGACCAACTCCAATCACCACCACAGTCGAAAGAAGCAAATAGTTACTCGTATTAATAATATAATTGACCAAGTTGTTGACAGACAATTGAATCTAACTCAAAATTGATGAAGAATCCACGGGAAATCGGTCTCAATATAGTTCATTAGTGTTTATTAGGCTAGGAAAAGGGGTTTTGGATGGAAGATCGATTAAGGGAGTCGAGGTAAAATGTGGGTAAGGTAAAAAAGGGTGGTTTTATCTGGCTTGGATAAATAAACACGTGTTAGCATTTTATTGGTATGTTATTTCACGTGGGAAGTGTTTTAAAACACGCGCTTAAGTTTTTACAGCCCGGTCATGCGTTGCGTTTAAATGGTATAATCTAAAATACAGTTAAAGTGTTCAATAGGAAAAGCGCTAAGTTAAAGTGTCAAAGTAGAAACTGGAGACATGTTTAAGGGGTCGTACACTTATTTGGCCTTCTTTCTTTTCTTTCTTTTCCTATTTTCATTTGGAGGAGGGTGAGGAATTAGTTGGTGCCAATCCTAACATACACAACTTCCTTCTCTTCTTTCTTTCACGTCATATTCTTTGAAGTTTGAAGCTTATAATCTTCACAAAACTCAGACAAATATTGTGCTCATGTGACAAACTAAATTTGATTGTTTACTTTGCAGATTCGGAGTAGTACACATTCATCTCCCTCGAGTTAATTTTTATATCTATTTCTCCTGTTTAACTCGTTATTTTCGTCACTAATGTCAACGGAACTGATATGCTTAGTTTCTTAATTTTATTTACGTGTGTGTACTTTAAATTTGAAGACTTCGATTCTTATTTAATAGAGTCAGCTATATAAAATAAAAATATATTCCGTACATCCCAACAAGGATGATGCTTTTCAATTTTTGACTTTTTCATGTCTTTTATATTTTCTAAAATATTAATTATTATAATTTTAGTACTTTTTATGTAGTTTTTAAAAATATAAATTTTATTTACAAAAACTTAAAGATTCTATATTCGAATTTACGGTTAAAATTAAGAAGTTTAATTTGAAACTCTCAAAATTCGAAAAATATCTTTTTGGAAATAAGGAAGTATCATTTTTCTGCAACCTAAATTTTTTCCCTTAACTTTTTTTTTATATAGTTCAAAATATATTCTTTGCTAATATTTTATGCAATTTTTAAAAAGATCATGCTCATTAGCAGAGACGAAGCTATGTTGTCCTAAGGATAGTCAATTGACCACCCTTTGTCGAAAAATTACATTGTGTATATAGATAAAATATTAAATTTTAGAGGTATATATAAGTTGAAATTTTTTTTTTAATTTTTTTTTTAAGTTTGAACATTTTTGAAAAAATTTCTTGCTTTGCCGGGGTTGCGCGTGCCCAAAAATTAGCATACATATGGAATACTTTTCACTTGTCAGAAGGATGTAAAAAGTAGAGAGTAATAGGTCATGGAGAAATCGTAAAGACCCATCATGTGGATGATGTCATTTCCCTTTAGATGTTTCGCACCTAATTGTGTCACGGGTGTCTTTAAGGTCATATCAATGCTTATGAGTGTTGTATGTAAATATTACAGCACGTTTATTTCTGGTTTTATTATTTTGCTTAAAGCAAAGAAGTTGCTATTAATTGGAAACAATTAAACACTTAAATATGCAAAGACACTGTGGTGAAAATCATTTACGACATACTAAAATGAGTCATAATCCAAAATCCCTCAAAGTTTCAATGAAATTAATGGAATCCCATTTTCCATAGCATTTTTCAGGTTATTGGTTACTTAATTCCTGAAGCAAAAAATAGGAATTGAATTTAAAAGGTATTAGTTAATTTCCTGCTCTATGTTTGTGACGGATTAATTAATTTGCCCATAAACTTGTTGCATTATGATTATATTATCGTGGTGCTTTTTTAATTCCCAGAAATACAAGACCTATACTAAATAGATTTTGAAAGACATCATATATATAATTATATCACGTGTGGCTATCATTAACTTTTCAAGGTCAAATTAACTCATAAGGGATAATCACAACCCAAATGTTCCCTACTGCAGTATGATAATGTTAAATTTTGCTACAGATTTCTTTATTCGATAATGTTCCGGATCGTGTTATGCAGAACACACTAAGGGAATCGTTCCTTATTTAGAGCTTTTCGGAGCTTGAACCTGAAATATGGAGGAGTAAATTTATCTATCCCGCCACAATTCTTAAGAAGCAATTAACACAATTAACTTCTACAAAAAAGACTGTCACATGCACTAAGCTCTCATTATGCGCGGGGTTCGGAAAGGGCCGGACCACAAATGTCTATTGTAAGCAGTCTTACCTTCTGCAAGGGTTAATGGTCACATGACGGCAACTTTACCATATAAATCATTTCAATTAAGACAATAACTTCTACAAAGTCAAAAATATATAATAGAAAAGGTGGGGAAATAAAACTAGAATCTAAAGCAAACTCTCAACTCAAAGCACACTTGGTAATATAAACTTGAAAATGCCATATCAACATAATTAAGGAACTTCAAATTGGAAAGTGAAAGGCTTACCATTTAGCCAATACATAGGTATAATATATCTTCAAACTCCATCTCAAAGTATCTCCACAACCCCAAAATAACAGGATGAAAAAGAAACAAAAGAGAATAAAAACCCTCCAAGAAAATAACGTAAGACAGACTTTAACAATCTTGAATAATAATTAAGGGCACTGGAAGCCAGAAGGAGCCTCTTTAGAGCAAACATTAAGAAGCAAACTAAGTGAAATAGGTACATTAAGATTAATGCCCAAAATGTTAGCCTTAATAGCAGTGCAAAGGCAAAGAGCAGCTTCAACATTAGCAAGTCCAGAGAGAAGGCTGCAGCAAGGAGTGACTGGGGGTGAGCCAATAACAGCATTCACCAATCCAAGAACATCAGCACACACTCCAAGCTTAAGGGTATCAATGGGGCATGTAGCTGTTTCTGAAGAAGGAGGAGGAGGACATGGTTTTGGCTTAGGTTTAGGGCAAGTACGACACCCAGAAACCATCGAAAACAAGACGAGGTTAAGGCAAAGGAAAAGAGCAACACTATGCTTGGAAGCCATTGCTGTGTTGAAGTGGTTTTTGCTTGCTCAAGTAGTGAGTGATGCAGATTTATGCAAGAAGTAAAGCGTATTTATAGATTTGAATAATGTTTTCTTCTCTTTTAGTCCCTATATGTCTTGGTCCATTATAATTAGGGGCCGGTAATTTCACGGAGGGTTGCATAAAGTTGTAAAACTAATTTTTGTCGTAAAAATAATAACTCAACTACGCGTATATATTACAACGTAACTAAAACATCTAAAAATGCTAAATATGGCCCCCATAAAAGAAAGTAGATAGTTATCGTGTATAAAATATAGTCATATATACAACTCACCTCACGTAATGTGCACATCAAATAACAAAAACCCATCTTTTGATCAAACCCAACCGATTGTTTTCACCACTTGGCACATTATTAGTGTTTCATTTTTTAAAGTGGGTCACAGATTTTTTTTTTTTTAAACTTTTAAGTGATACTACATGGATATTATGTAACCTGAATTGTTGGAGTGGCAGCCTGCTTATATTTTGGGACACGATTTAGTTTTTTCATGTCTCTCTTATTTTATGTGATATAAATGCGCGTAGTTGAGTAATTATTTCATTATAAAATTTAGTTTTATATATTTTGTATAATAAATAAACTATTGTTGGACTAGCTACCATCTATGAAATTACCCGGAAAAAGCAAGTGGAATAAGCTCAACATTTGCCATCCTTAATGACATTTTAGTCCTTTAAATTCCATTTATCCAGAAGAAGAAAAAAACTAGTTTAGTCCATCTAGGGATGATAGTAAGTCAAATTTGCAACCTTACTAGTTTCCAATTGCCTATCATTCCCTTAAGCACCATCACAAAATTGAAAACTATAACATGTAGGGCTCAAGGACGGGATTTAAAAAGCTAAAAACATGTAGGGCTCAAAGGTATTTTTGTCGACTAATAATTTTTTGTTCTAAGATTGATCCCATTATTATAGCCAATTTTAAATTGTTTATCATACTAGTAGAGTTGCCAGTTCATTAAGTGATTTTATCCAGATATTTTACATTATTAAGGAAGTTACGATAAAGGACTCAAAGTTGCTTGTAGGATAATTAAGTATCGTATGGGGATGAAGATTTATTTTTTATTTTAAAGGCTTCGTGCAAAAGGTCTACATTTAGCTTAATCTACCTTAGACAACATTGATTAGTAGGGAAATAAAATCAGAACTAAGTCTCATAGACTAAAAGTTAAACCTTTCGCTTTCTCTAATTAATTACTTTGATGTTAACAAGCATATGATAAAGAATATGAAGAAAGAAAAATAAATGTAGCACCCATGTGCCATAATGGCAATACTTTTGGCTGTATGCACAAAAACAGCCGAGATTTTGGAGGTTAGTGAAAAGGTTAGGAACACAAGCACAAGTTGGGTTCTGGATTTCTTGGTCTGTTAATGATCAGATTCAAGAACAGTGATGTGGTGCAATTCTTTTCCAGCTAATTAGAACATATAATTCTAGAGGGGCTATATCCTATATGTGTATGGTACAATATGTTCATTGTCCTTCTCACATGAGTGGCTGAAGGTTCCTCATGCAAGAAAATATCTTTTGTTCTTTGAGGATTAATTGGAGTGTTGCTCCAAAAGATTCTACTTGTTCTAATTTCTTAGAGTCAGAAAATGTGTTTTTTTCAACCAGAAGAAAAATGAGAATATTGTCAATAATGGGAGCTGTTCATAGAAAACTTATGGGTTCATTCAAGCCCATTCAGATCCTGTATATGTGTTAAACACCCAAATAATAGATTTGAAACCGTAAAAACAAATGGGTTATGATGAAGTTCCGATCGTACCCATAGTATTCAAATCCTGAATCTATGTTTGACTTGCATTTTTAGAAAATTGTGGTAAAGGCAAAGGTTTATCGGACAGAAGTTACTGCTCTTTATTTCCCCAAACACACTTTAACCTTTAAGATTGAATTGGTGTTCTAATAAGTCAGTATGTAAGCATGACATTAGATTATATGCTAAAGGCAACGAATGAAATAAATTAAGAAAACGACATAAGAAATGAATGAATGAAAGAAAGGATTTAATTTGCATACATTGACATTATAAAAATTCTTTTACACTATGAGCATAGTTTAACCTATTATAGCATGTCAGTTGCCATTTTATTTATTAGGTTATCTTCTTCTTCTTCTTTTTTTTTTAACTCAAAACCACCTTCACGGGGAGGGGTTAGGCTTGATCCCTACCTTATATATTAATACCCAAAAATGAAATACATGAGCAAGATGTATAAAGTGCCTAACCTCTTCAAAATATATATTTAAGACAATGGACAATTCTATTGCTATACATTTTCGTAATTAACCGAGGCCTATACATGGTACATTCACAAAAATTACAAGCATAAGGCTTTGAGTAGTTTATGAGAATGTCATTCTCATGATCACTGTTAAGCAGACAAAAAGTAAAACATAGCTTATACTTTTGATGCTACATCAGAGAGCTTTATATCTTTGAGTTTTTGGTTCCTTACTCTGAAATTAGAAAATCACCCTTTGTCCATGTTTATTAGCTCTTTCACATGTCTAGGGAGATGATCAGTAAAGGTAGTGTAGCCCTTAGTAGTCTGTGATGTGTGACTTAGAGCCGCAAGATGCTCTACTACCTGATTTGCTTTCTGTAGCAGTGCTGGATGGTACTACCCAGTAGCCTTCTAATTTGAAGGTCTCTTTCATCTATGATAATAAAAGCATGGAACCAGTTTTCAGTCTCAGGGCTATAAAACCATTTAGAATACACCACTGTATTCCAAAAAAAGAACCTTTGTTTCTGCCACATTACTGGTTCCCTGTATCGGTAAAAATTACCCTCTTCACGCGACCTGACCGAAAAGTCTCACATGGCAATTGAGACCTAGTGAGCAAGTGATGGGACCCGTTGACGAATTCGGAGGAAATGGTCATCGAAGGGTCAAGTATTCGAAGAGGTGGTTGAATAAGTTCGGAGACTCACTCAACCTGATCCTTAGATTGTGGATATCTATGTTACGCCGAAACGGAAGCCAATATCGAGGATCACTACCAGAAAATCGTAAATTTCCTACTGAAATTTATTGTAGAAAATTTCCGACGGAATCCGCCGGAAATGTCAAAAAAATATCATGTATGTATTTTTAAAACATTTTCGACCATATTTCCGACCAAATCGGTCACAACTTTTGGTGAAAAATTTCGTTTGACTTGTTTGACTTTATTTCCGTCCGATTTGGTCGGTAGTATTTTTAAAAAAAAAGAATATTTAAAATGACAATTCCGACAGATTCAGTCGGAATTTTGTTTTAAAAACCCTACCCGACCCCGTCCCCAAAAACAGAACTTCTCTTTTCTTCCTCCTTCTCTCATCCTCCTCTACTCTCCCTCTCATCCTTCTCCTCCGTCCCCCAAAATTTGCCCTTTAAATGTATTTTCGCTCTCTCTCTCATTTCATCCTCCCTTCTCCCTCTCCTTTCTCCTCCCTTTTTCCCTTAATTTATTAATTTTTTAAAATCTATTTTGTAGTAGTGGTTCTCCGCGCGGCGGTGGGGGCATCGGCTCAGTCGACTTCTCTGGCATTTTTTCCGTCGAGGTAAGTACTTCACTGACATATATATCGTATTTTTATTGTTAAATTTGTAGTAATTTTCTATATATGAACATCCTAGCTAGTTGAAGTAGATATGGTTGAAATTTTAGAGATTTTAGTTTTTTAATGATACATAATATAAAACAAATAGAGAGAATATGCTGAATTAGGTATGGTTGAAAATTTGGATTAAACAAGATATGTTAAGAAATCCTAAATCTAATTTTAAATTTGTTAAGAATATGTTGAATTTGTGTTTGATTAACTTAATTATTTTCGAAATAAAAAAGGTGACATGTTGGCATAAAGTAATTGAGAAAACAACGATAGGAAAGAAGGAAAACAAACTTTCACTTTCACTTCCAACGATAATTATATTAACTACTTATAGTTTAAAACTTTTGTATAAAGTTTGTTGTACTAGGTTCATTGTTGCTTGTTAGTTTTATTATTAGAATGATATTAAATTTAAATTTTTTCAATTTCAACATTAAGATTAATTTGTAAATTTAAGAAATCATTAATTAATTTGGATTATATGAACATTTAAGAAGTTATTCAAATTTAATTATTATAGTTAAAGACTTATATTATTTAGAATAGGGATTAATGTGAGATTTCGAGTGTTAAAAAATATTAATTTAAAAAATAAAATATTTCAATTAAAGTGCTTTGACACAATTAATTGTATATATCTAAAACGAACATTTGAAAGAGTATAACTTTGTAACTAGTTTAAATAAATTAAATTATTTTAAATATCTCATTTCTCGATTTCTATTTGTGTAGATAGAATTTGTGCATCATAGATGGATGTATAATAGGAATCATCCTAATCGTGCGGGGTTGAGGGATGAATTTATTGAAGGGGTTGCTGAATTTATTGCTAAGGCTCAAACACTTGATGATTTTTTTATTGGAGGAAGGATTAGGTGCCCTTGTGTGAAATGTAAGTATGTTAAGTTATTGAAAACAAACGAAGTTAAAGTTCATCTCTACAAGAAAGGGTTTGTAGAAAATTATTATGTGGACTGTTCACGGGAAGAATCATGCTAGTTTAGATGATGTTAACTTTCATAATTCTTTTGTTGGTGAGGGTAGCCCCATTGCAGAGCATAATGTTAAAAATTCTCGATACAATGAAATGATGAGGGATACTTTTGGGATGTTTCCAGGGGTTTAATCCGAACCAAATGATGAGGCTAACCGTTTCTATGAACAGTTAGCATATGCGGAACTTTTCTCGCAGAAGCGGCTTCACAGAAGAGTCAAAGTAACCACAAATGCAGAAATTTCGCATAAGCGTTTCTAGAACCACAAAACGTAGTCGCATAAGCGGTCAAACATCCGCAAATATGACTCGTCGGGTAAATTTTAAAGATCCAATACTTCTTTCATCAGGTAACACTCTAACCCATCTTCCCCTAACTCAAAACCCCTCTCATCTCTCACACTCGAATCTTATTGTTCACACACAAAGAAGTCAGATAATCATCTTGTTCCTTCTCTCTCTTAGTTGCTCTCTCTTCTTCCTCGATTTTCTTCTTCTCTCATCATCATATACTCTTCTCCATGGCCAAATTTCCATAGTCCCGTTTCCCTTCTTTAATCAACGTTCATTTTAGGGGTGAGGGAAATTGGTTGAGTGTAGTTGTGTATATTGTTATTATTGAAAAGAAATTGGGGAAGTTTAAGTACCCAATTGCTTCAAAGAATCAAATATCACTCTGTGCTTGTCACGTGTTCGAAAAATTGTCTGAAAGATATTTTATTGCTAAGTACCTTAAAATCATGTTTAATCAAGTCGTGTACTATTGTAGAGCATAAATTTAGAAGTCTTGAGTATAAATATTGTGTCAAAAATATAATTTGAATTGAATAGAGTCAGAAGTTTCTGAGCCTTTGAAAGTCTAGTGAAAACCGCTTTTGCAAAGAAAAGCTACAGATGCGGCCTCGCACCTATGTTGACTATTCTGCAAGTGCGAAAGTGGCTGCAATGTGAAAAAAACTGCAGAAGCGGGAATTTACCGTAGATGCGGAATCGCACCTGCGATGAAAGTTCTGTAGGTGCGAGTTTATGTTGAGCTGTGAAAATCGCAAAGCGAATCCTTTTAAGAAGAAGTGGAACCTCACCTGCGATTATTTTTTCGCAGGTGCGATTACTGGCATAATTTGGTAATTCCAGTAGCTTTGAAAATGAAGCTTTCGAAACTCGTTTGGCTTGATTATTTTGCCTAATTGTAGTTTTTTAAATTGCCTAACATAATTTTAATGCCCTACTAACTTGGTTTTGATTTTTTTAGGTACTTTGAGCTTCAAAAATGGACACAAACACAAATACAAATGTTGAGGATTTGAACTATGATACCAATAGATTCATGTCTTCCGATTGTCAAAGACGATATTTTTATAATCTCCTCACGAAAAAGCTCAAACTTGAGAAAGAAATTGCCGATGACAAAGTGGCTGAGCTCCTTCCGGATTTTCATGGTCAGATAGTTTGAAGAGCCTGGACATGCTTCATCCCAACTCCTTGCAAGGTCAATGCAGAATGGATGAGGGAATTTTATGCAAACTTAAAGCGTACACATTTTCGAAACCATGAACTTACAATAAAGGGAATGATTGTGAAATTTAGACTTGAGGAGATAAATGGTATCTATGGGCTTCAAAATCACCGACTTGAGCCAATGCGAGAAAGAGATACATGTGACAATGGTGAGTGGCTAGTCTCAAAACTCTGTCCTGCAGGCAAAATAGTGAGTAGGGCTAAAAAGAAGAAGGGCATCAAATTTGGTAATTTTACAGCTGAACAAAAAATGTGGTTGTATATCATTACGAGCAGAGTGTCTCCTTCTGGGAACGGTTCTGATGTCCCATATACTAAGGCCCTGATGATTGCTTGCATCCTTGATGGCATTCCAGTGAATGTCAGTTATTACATCGTTCAGGAGCTGAAGGAGTACATGCTTCAAGGTAGCTCGACATTGATGTTTCCGTCATTGATTATAGAGTTATGCCGGCGTACGCAGGTTGATGAGTATAATGGAGATCATTGGACACCAGCGACAAACCCTTTCACCCATTGAGAGTGACCGCATAAGGCAGTGTTCTAAAGAGCAAAAAAAGGAAAATGGAGATTTCTTTAGGTGAAGGGTCCTCCTCACAAGCTATACAACCCGAGGGACCTTTTGGGGTGCTGAATTCCCAGATTACCTCTATTTGTGACTTAGTATCACAGCTCCTTAGTGGACCCTCACACTCCCAGCCTATGCTTGAGTATTGTACTAGGGAAGAAATGAAGACTTACTTGGAAGCCCAGAAAAAGCAGGCAGAGTTTCATGAGAAGTTAGCAGCTTCTGTTACCGGGCTCGAGGAATCACGAAGGAGAGAGAGAGAAACAAGAAGAAAGGCAAATTTATGATAAAGATATGGAGATGAATCAAGGCCATCTTTAAATTGGGGCCGCCGAACAAGAACATACTGGTCAAGGACAAGGACGACAGTAAGGGGTATTCCTTCTTATCGGATGATGCTGATGCTGATGATACCGGTGAGGATGAAGCCGAAAGCTCTACACAGCAAAGATGAGCTTTTTCACGCAGTTTGCTAGTTTGATGCAGACTTCAGGGAGACCCTCAAACTACTCTTATTTTATTCTGATACTGTGCAGTGAGGACACTGCAGTGTTTTTAGTTGGGGTGGATTTTAGGGAGTATACTTCATTTATACATCAATGCTTTACTGGTACCCTTGCCGGGATTGTGATTTTGTATGGAGCTCACAGGCTGAATCATTCCGAAGTACGAATGCTCTCGAGATTCAACAACTCTAGTGAGATGACCCATAAAGAAGTAACATTAGAGACCAATGCTGAAGGGGTATCTAAGGATACCCCGTTTCAAGTCATCGCAGGAGATATGGCCTACAACAACATCCTAAGAGGCCATGGATTCATGAGATGGATGCGGTGCCCTCAACTTTGCACCGGGTGATAAATTTCCCATCCAAATAAGGGATACCACAGGTCCGAGGAGAATAAAGAGCGTCTCGGGAAGTCAACTCAATTGTCGTTGCTAACACTATCTCTAAAGAGGATAGCAATATCTCCAACGAGAAAACCGCCGAATACGAACCTCAGCAACAAAGGGAGGGAATGTGGCTGACACCACTGAAATAGCCCCCCCTCCATATAGAATCGTTGAACCCAAAGAAGATGATGCCTCCTCCCCAATGGTAGAAGAACTAGAAAAAGTGATCCTCTTTATTCACTGGCCGGACGGGAAGGTCTACATTGGCCCAAGACTGAGTCCTGAGTAGAAACATAAGTTAATTAAATTTTTGCAAGATAATTCAGATTGTTTTGATTGGTCTCATACATATATAAAGGGAATTCTAGTGGATATCGTAGTACAAAAATTGAATATGGACCCAAACCACCGACCTGTGAAGCAATAAAAGAGAAACATTGGACAACGATCCCGAGCGACGGAGGAAGAGGTCACCAAGCTACTAAAAAATTGTTACATCTGCAAAGTGAAATACCTGAAATGGCTAGCCAACATCGTCGTGGTTCCATAAATAACGGCAAATTGAGAGTCTATGTCGATTATCAAGACCCGAACAAAGCTTGCCCAAAGGATTGCTTTCCTTTCACGAACATCGATCAACTCATAGATTCCACAACTAGTCACGAATTATTAAGCTCTTTGGATACATATTCAGGGTACAACCAGATGAAAATGGACCCTAGGTACCAATAAAAAGCTTCATTCATTATAGATAAGGTAACTTACTACTACAACGTCATGCCATTCGGCTTAAAAAATGCTGGAGCAACGTACCAAAGACTAGTCACTCGAATATTCCAGGACTACAGTGGAAAATTCATAGAAGTATACATTGATGATATGTTAGAAAAACTAGTTCAAACCAGAGATAATCTGAACCACTTGCAAAAAGCCTTCGAAGTCTTTCAAAAGTATAGCATGAAACTCTACTCGGAAAAGTGTGCCTCCGGGGTCAGTTCAGGTAAGTTCCTCGGTTTTCTGGTTTCAAATAGAGATATAGAAGCTAACCCCATGTAGATCAAAGTGATTGAGAATATACCCAAAGTGCTAAAAAGTCAAAAGGAAGTGATGAGGTTGACCGGAAGTGTAGCAGCGCTCGAGTGATTCATATCTCGTTCCTCCGAGAGTCTCACAAAATCTTTGCAGCACTAAAGAAGAACAAGAACTTTAAATGGATTGCTGAGTGTCAAAAAGCAGTGCGAGACTAGAAAACTTACTTGTCTATACCACCTCTTTTGTCAAAGCCCGAAGTGGGAGAACGACTCTTTTTCTACCTGGCAGTAGTGGAAACCGCTTTAAGTGCTTTTTTGGTGCGAGAAAATGAAGGTACGCTGTCTCCCGTTTAGTATGAAAGTAGATCACTAGTAAATGACAAAACTATATACCCATATTTAGAAAAACTTTCACTAGCACTTGTAATGGTTGCGTCATTATATTCAATATCATCCTATTTTGGTGGTCCATGCTTTCCCGTTGAGGAGTATTCTCCATAAGCTAGAACTCTTAGGGTGACTCTCCAAATGGGCAGCTGAATTAAGCGCGTAAAATCACAGGTCTTGGTGGATTTTATTGCCGATTTCAGTACTAATATACTCCCTGAGGCAGAGAATGGGTCACTGATAGCCTCTGAAACCATCTTAGGATTCTGGACCCTATATACGAACGGCTCATCTAATGTTAAGGGGTCTGGTCTGGGGATATTAATCATCACACTGACTGGTGAGGCAGTTCAATAGTCAATAAAGTGCCCTTCAGTAACTAACAATGAGGCAGAGTATAAATTTGATATTGCAGGACTCGACTAGCTCGAGGACTCGGCACCGAATAAGCCGAGCTGAAAATGACTTGCACATGATCATCAAACAGATGCTCAGGACATACATGGCTCGAGAAACACGGATGCAACAATACCTTTTTAGAGTTACTCGGCTCCTAGAACATTTTCAAGAATAGAAGGCAACACAAATACCCCGAGAGGAAAATGCTGAAGCAGAAGCGCTAGCCAACGTGGGGTCAGCCACAAACATCTCAAACACAGAAGCAAGCTTTGTCATCAATTTATTACGATCGACCCTAGATTCCAATCAAGAAGACGTAAATACCGTTAATGTGATTATATATTAGAGCAATGACTTCATTGATTATTTGCAGAACGACACGATACCTAAAGATAAAAAGGCTGCTCAGCAACTCAAGGTTCGGGCGAGGAGATACTGCCTCATTGAAGGATATATATACCTAAGAAACTTTAACAGTCCTCTAGCAAAATGTTTGGGAGAAACCACTTAAGAGATAGGTTGCTAGTTAGGAAGCTGATTAGAGCCAGATACTACTGGACCCGTATGGAACATGATGCTACCAATTTTGTCAAAACATATGAAAGCCCCTGTCATTCTCGCACCGGCTCCAACAGCTGGCCGAACTACTACATTCTATATTGTCTCCTTGGCTGTTCATGAAGTTGGGGGTAAAAATAATGGGACCTTTATCACAAGCTCCAAGCCAAGTAAATTATTTACTTGTATTAACTGATTAGTTTTTTAAATGGGTGGAAGAAGGTACTTATTCACAGATCCGAGAAAAGAAAATGATCAACTTTGTATGGAGGAATATCATATGAAGATTTGGTGTACTGAACAAAATTGCTTGTGACAATGGACCACAAATCGTAGGAGCTAAAGTGACCAAGTTTTTTTGAAGAATGAAAACTAAAAAGAATTACCTCCAGACTCCATCACCCCGGAGCTAACGGACAAGTTGAGTCTTCAACCAAAGTCCTACTTGAGTATTTGAAAAAAGGTTAGAAATAGAAAAAGGCAAGTGGCCGAACGAATTGCCCGGAGTATTATGAGCTCATCGCACAACAGCAAAGTCGAGCACCAGAGAGACTCTCTTTTCACTAGTGTATGAGTCCGAAGCACTGATTACGGTTAAAATAGAGAAACAAAGCCTAAGATTCGCACGCACAACCGGAGACTCCAACGTCGGAGTAGTCACACACATCCTAGACCTGATCGAAAGACGAAGGGAGATGACTTTAGTTCGTATGGATGCACAGAAATAGCGAACCAAAAAATATTACAGCAAGAAATTTAACCTGTATCATGTCAAGGTAGACGACTATGCGCTCCGAAGTGTGTTTGCAGCATCCTAGGAGCCGAACATGGGAAAACTAGGTCCGAATTTAGAAGGACCCTATAGAATCACCGATATAATGCTCAAGGGATCGTACAAGCTTGAAGAAATGGATGGAAATCCAGTAAAGGCAAATTAGAACGCTACATATATGAGAAAACTGCTATCTTCTTTGACTGTGATTCTACTAGACTTTCATGATTAGTACTCTTGTATCTAAAGTCTTTTTTAGGATTATATGGATCATAATTCGATTTGAAATTCTACTTGGAATGGTTTGCTATCTTACAGTGCTTAATCCTGTTACTGTGAACATATTTGTTTTTGGAAAATATAACATGAACTTGCTTCACATGTGTCTTGTGTGCCTTTAAATTTAGCATGATCCTGTTTATGTGTTTTGGCCAGACCTGTTGATGGCTACAGCTTTAGGAACTAAGTGTTTAAATTGTTTAATAAGTATTTCATGACTTGTATAATCTGGAATCCATTTGGGTGAGTAAGTTATAAATTGGGCCTGGGATTGGTCCATGCATATTGTTGGACCAGGGAACTGAATTCAGGTGCACTCTAGTTGTCTTGTGAGCATGTGATTTGGACTTGCTGTTTGTATGGAGAAGGCCTAAGGATACCCATGGGTTACTTTGTAATGGGCATGTAATTACTTTAGTGGGCTTATATTTGTTTAAATCTGTACTTTGTCATATTCAAGTTTGTATTATTTCATTCTTGGGTCTATAATAACTTGTAATAAACAACAGTTGGGGATTAGTGAAAGCTGGAGGCCTTGGATACTCTATCTTCGCATGAATGGGTAGAAAGCATGTCTATAGGGATATAATTGTTTATTTGCTTGACATGTACAATCTTTGGGAATTATCTGCATAACGTGTTGATTGCCTATTCACCTAGAAAGCATGAATTAGGGTTAATATAATTCTTTAACTTGCAAACATTAGTAAGTATGCTTATAAGGTCTGAAATTAGACTTGTTGCGCTTAGATATCATGCCTATAGGAATTCAATGCAATGACTAGAAATGCATGCTTTCACGAACTTCTTTCAATCACGTGACTCATCTAGATACTGTGGCTATTAACTAATTAATCAGTTGCTTCTGTTACTCTCATTATACTGCCCTACCAAGATGACATGCCTATAGGGGTAAAGTATTATAAAAGCATGTTTGAATGCCAATTGTTAGAAATACTGCTTATAGGATACTCTCCCTCGCCTAGAAAGCTTGTCTATAAAATCAGCGCTGACAATTCTACATTCACAAACTTTTTCACTGTCTTGCTGCGCAAATCATTTAGAGATCATGCCTATAGGGTTTGCAATACCTATAATCTGCAAATTCATTAGTTTAAAGCTGCAATACTACCTGTACAATATTGGAAATCAAAATTACCTAGAAATCATACATATAGGATTTAACAACTATAATGCTTCTCAACTCTGAAATTGGCTAATGCCTAATCTGCTGCATGCATTCTCTGTTTATTTGTGGGGGTTAATTTGAGTCTTTTATTGCATTCATGTGAAGTCCTATATGTTTTGAATGTGCGCTAGTTTTATCATTTTTGATCATCCTAAGTAGAGTCTACAACCCCCAATAATAGGTCCAAAACGTCCTAGACTATAGGGATGGGAGGGGTAGTGCACGCGCAGGATACGATCTAGAATTGAATTAGAGCGCCCTTAAGTAAACAACTTTAACATAGTAATCGAGTAGCAGGAGATGTTAGTCTGTCCCTGCTGAATAATATGAGCAACCCCTACCTCAAGGGAGTTGCGGAGTATTATTTATGTTTCACGGGGTGATCCTTTAGGCTAAAGAAACTTAGGAACCTCTTCCTTTTATATGTTTGTTGTTCACATTTAGTCATCAAATACAGAATAGTTAAGTCGTACCTTGTAACCTCAAAAGACTTGTATATATAGATTAATTGTCGCTCGATTTAGTTTACAATAGAACCATTAAATTCCATGTCTTCCTTTACTTATATGATCACTTCGCTTAATCACAATACAATAATCCACATAGTGTAACTTCAACCGGGATCCACAGTTGTGGACCTCGAAGAGTGCCTAATATCTTTTATTCGAGGTAACTTGAGCCCTTACCCGTCTTTGGTAACACGGACTAGTAAATACTAAGTTATTTGCAAATAGATGGCGACTGTTCTCTTTTAATACGAATTTAAAGAGTTGTCACATGTCGAAACCCGCTTTCACGGGAAAACGGGTTGACATCATGGCGACTCTGCTAGGGATTTTCGACTTACGCTCTTACCATGATGAAGTTGAATTATGTGGATTATTTGATGACATCCCTTTCCTTATTCACTATTTTTGTTGCTATCACATGCACATCCCCGTTTCTCTTTTCTTGTTTAAGACTTCTAGATCATGTCTTTCCCGTCCCCATCTCCCTATTTTCTTCATTTAATTATGTTCTCGCATGTTTTCATGAGTTAAACTGACTTCTCTCTTTTGTTTTTCCCCTTTTCTTTCTCCTGTTTATATTATTTACTGTTTTTATGCACTTTTATCATGTAAATATTTGGCAACGTGGTACTATTTTTGCATAAAGCACGCTCCACATCACACTTCACTCGTACTTATTATCAACATAGCAGTTCTTGATGAGTGTCCGCTCTTCCCTAAAAAAACAACCTTTTAAATCGGGAAGGCTTATTTGCAGTAGACTAGTCGATCAGCGGTGCAGTCGACAGTCCCGTGCCTTTCCCTCTCAGGCTCAGGTTGTCCACTTGAGAGTATCAATCTAGACCTTTCTAGAAACCATACTCCGATCTTAAATGTACATGCATCATGCTAAACCTAGTATGGATTGAGACATCATTGATGTAACAACCCGTTTAGATGAACCTTGTCCAAAGTCCAATGGGATTTCCATAATCCCAAAGGACACCATCATATTATGTGCATTACTTGGAGAAAACGTGTCAACATGCTGATCATTATTGTATAAATAGTCAAATCTGGAAGGGGAGAGGGCTAACTTTTATTTGTTTGCAGAAAATGAAGCATAAAATCCCCAGGTTCGCTATGGTCCAGAATATCCTGCCTCTGCTAATTGACTAGTGGAATGACCTTGCGCCCTTTGACAGAAATCATGTGAGAAAGGTATTGGGTAACCTGCCATCCTTGCTGAACATTCAACCAAACAGGAAACTGATCGAGGCTGCTACCATGTTCTGGGATGAGAAGAAAGTTGTTTTCCGATTTGGCAATATAGAAATGACTCTTCTCCTAGAAGAAATAGGGGGTTTCGCCAAATTACCATGGAATAGTCCAGGACTATTGGTGCCAAAGAATCGCACTCCACGCGGTTTTCTAAAAATGCTCGATTTTAAGAAGAATGATGAACTAGTCTATCTGAAGAAATCATGCATCACCTTTGAATTTCTCTATGAGCGTTATGGGCATAGCAAATCATATCGCCTTCATCATGAGGACTTATCCATTACCTCTTTGGGATGCGTGCACCACCAAGTTTATGATTTCATAGCCTGTTTCATGGGTTTGTTGATCTTTTTGATGCAAGGGGGAAAAATTCATACTCGCTTAGCCATGGTCGCCAAGACCTTAATGGAGGGTATTGAGAGTAAAAAGTACACTATCATCCCGATGATCTTAGCTGAGATATACCGTCCTCTGGATCGGTGCACGCATGGGTGCGGTCATTTAGAGGGTTGTAATCTCTTGCTACAAGTTTGGCTGCTGAATGACTACATAGCCAGTCATCATCCAAAAAAGATGACGTTCATTCTAGACAGGTTTGCAAAGCCTGAAAATACTGTAGGATCGGTGCATTTCTTCAGTAGTCTGACAGATGAACAAGTGCATTGGATGTTTGAATGGTTTCCTAGTAGTGAGTTCATCATCAGATCCAAAGGAACTACTCACTTAGTACTGATCGGGCTGTGAGGCATATTCCCTTACGCTCGTATAAGAGTAATGAGGCAAGCTGGGAGGAAACAAGTTATACTTCAGTTTTCTAACATGGTTCAGTATAAAGCAGATTTTAAAGGAGATGTTATCCCATTCAAGGTTGAGGCCTAACACATATGGAACCAAGAGATCATCGTGGAAGGAGAGAATATTGACCCGGACAGGTATCACGCTGGTCATATGTACTACTATCTCTCGTGGTTGGAGGACAACATAGCTGGGGACGTCAAACCGGGAGTCAATCTGAAAGATAGGATCATAGATAAGGTGGATGAGGCACAGGTGAAGCATAAGAGGCTCCATAAAAGGGTGTTTGACTCAGAAGCTAAGAATCTGGAACAACATAAAGTGAACATGGAGGCGATAAGAGAATGGAAGGAGATTTCCAATAAGTCGACAAAGAGGTTAGAATATCTAGAATAAGGATTTATGGAACTAGAAGGAAAAATGAGAACGAGGCTTTGGGATTGTCAAGGCATGGACGATGATGAAAGAGGGAAGATGACAAAGGCTTACTTGCTACTAGACACGCGCAATCTGGGAAATGTGATTGACGGGGTCAAGAGAGCCAAGCATGAAGAAGGTCCTTCAAGGAGCAATTAGACTAGGAGATAATGTCCTTTACTGCTTTCTAGATTAGATTAGATTTTGATGTAATAAGGGTTAATGGCATTATTGACTTTATAATTATTGTCGATTTAGTGAAATATTGATTTGGCTTATTTTCGCACTAATGGAATGAGGCAAACATTGGCATGAATTTTTTTCTCCAAGTCTATGTTTTGCTTAGGTTTACCTCAGGCATAATGAGGTCTCCAAAATTAGGACACGAATTATTGCATGACCTTATGATATATGCTTAAATATTGCAAACACTCTTTTACTTCATTTTATTGACTTGGTTACCTTTTGTTTTTTTTCCTTTCTTTGATTACACTCATTCCCAAAGGTTGGTTCTTGAATTCTGGCATTATAAACTTACCACACCAGATACAGAGGTCCTCCACCTCACCTAGCGATCCGAAAAACAAAGGCAAGGGGAGGATGGATGATCAAAGTGGTAGCCAAAAAGACAATGTTACCATGGCAGAGAATGTTGAAACCTTGGATGGAAGAAGTATGCCAGGATATAATGAGTTGGTCTTACGTTTGGAGAAGAAAATCCTAGAGCTGTAAGGTGAGCTTGAGCATGTCCGAAATCTGGAAAACCTCTCCCTTACCCTAAATGTTCCAGACATCAAACAGAAAAGCACAACCACTCAGAACCAAACACCGCCGCAAAATACACAAAACAAAAATCCACCACACATAGCTTAGAATCCTCCCGCAACGCACCAGTATCACAATCCCGCACCTCACCAAAACATTAATCCACCACCAGTGCACACCCCTCAACAACAGCATCAATACCCAACCCAATATTCACAAACCACCACTTATCACACTCCTTAAAACGCACCACAACTTACCCCTGATCCCCCTCAAATTTCAATCAATGATCACCCATATACCTAAGTTCTTGGAACTCATCAAGGCAACCCGATATTTGTATAAACCTTACCCCATACCCCACAACAAACCCTATACATACGTGAGCCAACCGAGAAGGACCTGCTCATTCGAAACATGGCAGAAGAACTCAAGACACTGGAGATTCCAGAGT